TCTTTAAAGAAGAAAAGACAATATATAGAGACCTATCAAGCTAAATCCCTAATTTCCTAAATAAATAAAATCCCAAAGGAAATAAAATATTCATCTACTAAGTAGGAAAAAGAAATAAAGCATAATAATTTAATAAGTAGGAAAATAATAATCAAACTAAATATGGTAAACGATCATATTTGTCCATAAATGCCATCGCGATCTCGTCTCCATCAAGGTCCCTGTACCAAAAAAAAAAAAAACATAAATAATAATAATAAAAAAAAAAAATGAATTACAAAGGGGTCTATAGGCAAATCATAAAGGGGTTTGGTCCCGTTGAACAAGTTGCAACTTGGCCATATATTATTAATGTACAAGACATTTAAAAGGTGGAGCAAAGGTTCTTAAACAATGGCCACACGATTGAGTTTGGAGTTAAAAGCATATAGGATGCAGGATAATATCTATTATTTTTGGGAAATTTTTATGCATCCCACTTGATTTTTAAAATATTACAAAATTATTACTCACGCACAATTAATTATGTATATACCTAACTGATCATAATTAATTACACTAATGCCTCAAATCTATTTCCAGCATCAAACTTCATTCCTTATTTTCAGTGCTTTATTCCTTATTTCTAGCGCCTGATATGTGGGTTGTTACCAAAAAATCATGCATATAAAATATACAAAGAATCAAATTGTTATTTTCAGCACTTGATTTACTGCTATTACCAAAAAATCATTGGCTCCCGTAATTGGATACATTAAACAGATTAGACACAGTAAATGATTCGCGCGTTTATGTGGTATATATTGCGTTTTTGTTAGTATATATTCAGTATATGTTATAATGAAAAAAGATCCGAACTTCCGTGAATGTAGGTGGTATACTGTACGTTTATGTTGGTATATATTTAGTATATGTTCAATGAAAAAACATGTCTTCCATGCGTCAGGTGGTATATTTTGCATTTATGTTGGTATATATTCAATATATGTTGCAATGAAAAAACATGTCTTCCATAAAAAAATTATGGTATATTTTTTTTTAAAACATAAAAGTATATATAAACATATTATAACAATTATTTATATTTTCAATACAACACAAATCTTCTAATATGTTGAACATATATTGAACATATACTCCATATACACACAACATATACTTAATAGTTTATAAATCATCTTCTAATATATTGAACATATACTTTATATACACCCCTCATATACTCTATATGCACACCTCGCTTGGCCGATCAAACGGCTAACAACTCTTTTTTTTTTTGTACGCGCCCGCCATTAATGACGGACCAAGTTATACAAAATAAAAACTATCTATATACGAATCAAACACGTCAGAT